GTTAAAGAGAGATTTCATTCAACATAAGGAACATTTGATAATATTGGAATTAATTGTGTTGAGTTCTTCACCTTCTGGAAGTGGTAAAGTAGAAACAGGATTTCGGGGTTGCAACTAAAGGGATTCCTTCATCAGACCAGATGGCCCTCAAAGGCCCTTCTAGCTCTGAGTTTCTGAGAGCTCATTCTGAAGCATCTTCAAGCTGTATTTATTTTTTCTCTATCTCTAATATTTATTCCTATTGCTAAGCTCTAGCTTAGCTTTTCATTGCCACAAGTAACTTCCTAATTGGTCACCTGGTCTTCCTAGTTCCCTGGTCTCTTTATCTTGCATGCTGTTATCCAATTAAATTTTTTAACAGCTTTTTGAGATACAATTTACACACCACTAGGTTCACCTGCTTAAAGTTTGCAATTCAATTTTTTAAAAATGATTTCTTGATTTTTATTTGACAGACAGCAAGAGAGAGAACACAAGCGGGGGGGGGGGGGGAGCTGGAGCAGGAGAAGCAGGCTCCCTGCTGAGCAGTGAGCCAGACGCAGGGCTCGCTGTTCAGGTCATGATCTGGTCCTGGGATTGAGTTCCACATCGGGCTTCCTGCTCAGCAGGGAGTCTGCTTCTCTCTCTCTCTCTCTCTGCCGTTCCTCCTGCTTTTGTTGTCTCGCTCTCTCTCTCTGTCCAATAAATAAATAAAATCTTTAAAAAAAAATAAAAAAAATATTTTTAAAGTGATCTCTACACCTAACGCGGCCCAGAGACCAAGAGTTGCATCCTTTACTGACCTGGGCCAGCCAGGCGCCCTCAATTTAATTTTATTTTTAAAGTATATTTAGGATTGTACAAGCATCATATCAGAATCAAATTTTAGGCCATTTTCATTACTCCAGAAAGAAACCTCACACCTATCAGCAGTTACTCCCCATTCCCCCAACCACCAGCTCTTGGCAACCACTCTCTGTTATGTAAAACATGGCTTTCATTGTGTTACTCTCCAGCTGGGAGGCCTTCAGTGTCTTCCTTATCCATATGATTAAGAAAACATGTCTTGGGGTGCTTGTGTGGCTCAGGTGGTTGAGCATCTGACTCTTGGTTTGGCTCAGGTCATGATCTCAGGGTTGTGAGATTAAGCTCTGTATCTGGCTCTGCATTCAGTGGGGAGTCTGCTTGAGATTCTCTCCTTCTCCTCCCCCTACTCAAATAAATAAATCTGTAAGAAAACATTTCTCACCTGGAGTTCATATTTTTCTATAATCTGATTTCAGCTTATTTTTCCAATTTTGACTTACACTGTTCCCCGGTTTGGATATACAGCTCTTGCTAAGGTTTATCTGTTTCTTCTTGTTGAGAATGCTGTGTGCATTATACCTTCCTTTTGGTTTCCACTCTTCTATCTAAAGAAATCTGTATATGCTTTGAGACCTAACTTAAGTCCTGTTCTTTCTGTGAATCCCTCCCTGAGTAATATCACCTATAATGAGTTCACCTTTAAACTTGAACTTCCCATAGCAGCCTGTATTGTAAAACCTTCTTTTGGCATTTAATTGTTAACTATCATGTGGGACCCCTTCTGTTGTGTTATTCAGCTTTTTGTGTGTGTATGTGTTGATTCCCTGAATTGATTATAAGCTTCTTAAGGGCAGGGACCATGTATACTTTTTCTTTATATCTTCTGTAGCTTAGCTGAGCATATGGTTGTGCACAGAAATAGTATGTAAGAATAATGGAATGAATAGAGCCGGCATTGAGCAGAATGCTAAATTTGAACTCTTTTGACAACCGCAGACTTCAAACTCTTACTGGACTTGTCCATGTTTTTACCAACTGAGCTATCCAGGCTCACACATGTCCATGTTTTTAGATGGCTTTGCTTTGTCTAGAACCTGATACCACATTCTTTCATTAATTCATTCAGTAAATGCTACTGGTGCTATACTTTGTTTACTAATTTCTCAAAACCCTGTTCTTGATTTAGTTAACTTTCTCTTATTGCTGTGATGTAGCTGAATTCTGATAGCTTTCAGTTCTGCATCATCATTTTTGAAATCTCCTTCTGTTTCTAGGACTTTCTTATAGTAGATTAGTACATTACCACAGCCTCTATAGACCTATACAGTACCATTATTACACGCATTATAAGATCTTATTATTATAGGTTGGTACATAACCTCAGTCTCTGTAGTCCCATTATTATGTACTTTGTGTTGTAATACACCATGAAAATATCATGTTCTGAGAAGTTGCAGGATGATGAGTGCTTTGGGAGACAGTTGCATTCCTCAAGTCACTTATGGGTTGATTGCAAATGTAGAATAGTACTTTTAATTTGAAACCATAACAAGAAAAGTACTATGTTCTAAGTGTTAGGAGTCACACAGAAATTAATAATAAAAACATCTAGATTCTTAAGGAGCTCACAGTCTCATGGTACCAACTGAGTTTAAAAACCCAAATAGTTCTAAAACAGTATCATGAGTATTGTAGTGGAGAAGTGGGTGCTCGGGATGATAGCAGCCCTGAAGGGAGGGTTTGATTTCTTCTGCTATGGCAGAATTATAGTTTGAGAACTGGAGGAGACCTTATGAGTCCTTTGAGGACAGGATATTTTTCTGTCCCCATCACCTAGCAGAGTGCCTGGCATATGGAAGGTAATCAATAAATGATAAATGGTCATCTATACTGTGTGGTCTTACATGGTAGATATTGAGTACTTGAAACATGGCTAGTTGGAATTGAGATGTGCTGTGAGTGTTAAGTACTCACCAGATTTTAAGGACTTATTTAAGACAATGTGTAAAAAAAAAAAAAATCACAATTTTTTATATTGATTATATGTTGAAATGATCCTTATTTGATATTAGATTAAATATGTGATTAAAATCAATTTACCCATTTCTTTTTAGTTTTATTTTTTATTTTTTTAAAGATTTTTATTTATTTATTTGAGAGAGAGAGAATGAGAGAGAGAGAGCACATGAGGGGGGGAGGGTCAGAGGGAGAAGCAGACTCCCTACCGAGCAGGGAGCCTGATGCGGGACTCGATCCAGGGACTCCAGGATCATGACCTGAGCCAAAGGCAGTCGCTTAACCAACTGAGCCATCCAGGTGCCCTCTTTTTAGTTTTAAAAAATATGGCTACTAGAAAATAAATTACATGTGTCTTGTATTATGTCAGACAATGCTGATCTTACTCAGCTGCCTTAGAGAGATGCTGTGATTTGACCAAGGTCACAAAATAGCAGATACCTTAAAATTGAGAATTTACATGTTGAATTTCTTGACTTCTGGTTCAGTTTTCCTTATAGCCCTAAATTAGTACAATGTAAATACATAAATTTTGAGGTAAAATGACATCAGTTTGGTCTTATTAGGGATGGCCCGATCTCCCTGTAATTCTCAAAACCACATGAAGTATAGGTTCTGTTATATTAAATATAGGTTACAGTTATGAAATCTCAGTCTTAGGGTGGTACGTTCAAGGTCACACAGCTAATAATGCACAGAATTTAAGGTAGGACTGTGAGAAACGACAGGAAACCTGGGAATTTTTCCTACACAAGGACAGGCCTATAAACACTGGGGACTCTTGAGTCCATAGAGGATGAATGTGTTAATGTATATGCCTGAAAAAAAAGTTTAAAAATCCATTGCAGAACATGAGGTTATGTGAATGAGTATATGTTTATGCAAGTACATGAAAGAGACAGAGAGACAGAGGGGGCTGGGGAGAAAGAGAGGGATAGAGAGAATGGATGATGAAATTGATTTTATTTATTTATTTTTAAAGATTTTATTTATTTATATGACACAGAGAGAGAGACAGCAAGAGAGGGAACACAAGCAGGGGGAGTGGAAGAGGGAGAAGCAGGCTTCCCGTGGAGCAGGGAGCCCGATGCGGAGCTCGATCCCAGGATCCTGGGATCAGACCTGAGCCAAAGACAGACGCTTAACGACTGAGCCACCCAGGCGCCCCTGTGAAGTTGATTTTAAAGACTGGGTCCTCATGCCAGCATCTTTCCTGATCCTGCCATCTTTCTTTCCTGATTCCCTTCCCTTCCCTTCCCTTTCCTTCCCTTCCCTTCCCTTCCCTCTCCTTCCCGAGAGAAAGAGGAGGGGGAGGGAAAATCCCAAGCAGGCTCCATCCCCAGCCCAGAGACTCACATGGGGCTCATTCTCACGACCCTGAGATCATGACCTGAGCCAAGATCAAGAGTCCGACGCTCAACCAACTGATCCACCCAGGCACCCTTTCCTTCCCATTTCTGACACTGAAATTACCATATTCCCATTTTCTTTATTCAACTCAGTTCAGTTCAAATCAATGTACCTAAGTCTAAACAGATGTTTATCAACATTTTTACAATGGTTCTCTTTGGATAGAGGGGTTTCAGGTGATTTAAAATTTTGTTTATTTGTTCTCTATATCATTTGAATTTTTTTTTCAATAACATAAACTAAGAAAAACCAGATTTGAAAAATAGCAAAACTATTTTCATTTGGAAGAAAAAATCAATATGCTTACTAGTTTTCATTCCAAAAATAAACCTTTCACCCTAAAATTTCAGTCGCATAACTTCCTCTCTGCTATTCCACTCTTTATTGGCTTCGATTTCATAGTCCCCAGGTGAATGATTAGATTAAGTCTCCAAAGGCCAGTGCTGTAATATACCATCTCTTGGTCATAGAGATGAGCTTTCTTGTAGAGGTAGCATTTATTTCTTTAGCTAGGATGTTTATGTTTTCTGGGGACAGACTGTTTGTAAACAACAGTAGCTCAGAGTGGTCATATCCTGCAACTATTTTTAAATGCTTTCAATCTAAACAGTCTATTTGCTGTGTTTATGTCATAATGAGACCTTGGTTGTTATTCAGCCCCTATCTGATAATTTTCTTTTCCAAATTACCCTGCAAATGTATTTGTCCCTGCAAATAGGGACTTTAATAAGTCCCTATTTTTTAGTTTCCTTTTCACTGCTTATTGACATGGTTTATGTTCTTTTAAGATGCTAGTGATCAAAGAGAAGATGTTTATATTGGAAACCACATGCCTTGCCCTGAAAACCTCAATGGTTACTGCATCCATGGGAAGTGTGAATTCATCTATTCAACTCAGAAGGCTTCTTGTAGGTAGGTCAACACCTCCAGGTCAGAGGTGAGGAATTTTTTCCTTCAGTCACTGCTCTACAGAAAGCAATGAAATACGGATTAAATATTATCAAAAAGTAATATTTATTTGCAATTGAGTCAAAAAATAAATTAGTGGCACCATTTGGAAAAAAACTGATAAGTATAATATGCAGAATCAACACCAGGTGTCCTATTAGGGTTTTAAGATTATGGACTTAACATTTTTTAACACATTTTTCATATAAAAATATGCCATATTCCAGCACTATTTTGGTTTTTAGACAATCTGTCACAAGGTGATTTAGGGACTAAAGAATGTGTTAAGAACAGAGAACATGTAACTCAAATAAAACATACACTAAAATAGATTTCTAAAAATAAGGGAGTGGGGATGTGGAACCAGGTGTGAGGAGAGAAGTGGAAATGGGAAAGGTGTAAATCTTCAACTGTCTGATGCCAGAGAGGTTATGTGACTTGTTCAAGGTCAGCAGCAGCAAAGCTAGATCTCAGATTTCCTGACTCTCAGACTGATGCTCATAATGCTTTTTGCTGTTCTGTGTCTGTTTGTTGGTGGCACTTCTTGCTGCTGCTGGGAGCTCATCCTCTACCTCAGGCTGGTCTCATGAGCTGGGTAATGTTTCCATAGACAAGGGGAGATTGCTATCATTCTGCTCACTCCTGCCTTCTGCAGTTTGGCAGAATTCTTTTTTCTCTTTCTTAGTAAAAATATCAAAACATGGACAAATGTTATACTTTTCTTTTGTTCTGTCAACCTAGAAGCCAGTGGATCTTTCTCTCCAGAAAGTTGAAGCAAGCCGTTGGAAGTCAGGTCTCCTGGCCCCTCCACCCCAAGCTCCCTTCTCCTTGCTTTTTCTTCTTCCTCCTCTCCTCCGGCTTAAAAAACAAAACAAAAATACTATAAACTGTTAATGGCTAAACAATTTTTTGTTAAGCTTTTGGCTTTTTCTTGATTGAAAGTGCCGCTGGACTTTAACGGAGCTGTTGCTCTACTCCCACCTCCCCTTTCTCGAACATTAAAAAAATGCAACTGTGCAAAGGGGAACAGGCCAGTTTTAAAATCATTCCACGGATTCCTCATATTTGTCCCATGGTGGCATACATACCTTGATAGAAGTTCAGATCGTGTTGTTCTCTCAGGATAGGGCATCTTTCAAGATATCTAAAAGTGAGGAGGACAATGTCCTGATGATGAAGTGGTACCAGGTCACTTTGCAGTATTTACTTTTGCAGTAATTGACAGCAAAAGGATTGAATGGTCTAGCGGTTAAAGGCTTTGGAAGCAGGAACACCAGATTGGCCAGTTATTGACTGTGCCCTTCAGAAGTTACTTAAATGTTTAAGCCTCATTTTCTTATTTCTAAAATTATAATAATAGTACCTATCTCCTAAAATTGTTGCTAAATTTAAACTGTTGCTAAAATTAAATGAGATAATATATGCAAAGTGCTTAGCACAATAGCTGGTCCTCAGTATGTATTTGATAAATTGTGGTTGACGTTAGTAGGTTCTAAGTGCTGTTCAGTTAGGGATTCTGTCTTCCTAACCCTGTCTTCCCAGTGCCTAGGGTGGGACCTAGCCCAGTAGCTACTCAGTAACTATTTTTTGAATGCCATGTGATGATGATCAACTTTTCCTTCTTCTCCAGACCAGAGTTGTTTCTTAAATGCCAAAGAATCTCTTTTCTGCACTACTATAACTCCTAAAAAGCAGTAGATCTTTTTGTCTAAGCATTTGCAAAGTCTACAAGAATCAGGCCATAACATCACATGTACTTCGACTAGTAGGTGGATGTGTTTGGGTAGCAGTAAGCAGGCAGGGATGAACAACTGTTAGCCACAGTCCTATTATTAGGTTAGAATTTTCTAGCATTATCCCACCATTAATTTGTTTGTTTATTTATTACTTACTTTGTATCAAATTCTTCCTGGCCCTTGGGTCTCAAATTCAAATATGACAGGGATCCAGGGATCTTGGCTTCCAAAAAAACCCTACCATTTGGTAGAAGAGACTAATGATAAAGCAGTTAAAATATAATATGAAAAATGCTGCCATACATAGATAGATATACAGGAGATGATTTGGGACTTCAGACAAGGAACTTGAACCTGAAGAGGGCAATCGACATCATGAGAAGAGGCGCAGGTCTTACACAGGAAGATTTATGCCAGCCCAGGAGCTTGCCCTTTGTTTTAAAGGTAGTGAGAAGCCACTTAAGGATTTAAGTTAAGAAAGTTGTGATCAGATCTGAAAGCCACTCTGGTGGTTTTGTGGAAAATGGATCAGGAGACTGAATGTTAGTAAGGAGTGAGAACCTGAACTAAGTAAAGGAGTTATAGGGGCACTGAGATCGGCAGATGAATTGCAGAGAGAAGATGGGGTGATTCAACCCCAAGTTTTGGTGACCAGTTGGGTATGTGGGAGCTGGTGGCGGGTCATGGGAAGGAAGAGTCAAGAGCATCTCCTGGGTTTCTGGCTAAGGCAGAATTGAGTGGAGAAAGGGAATGGGAAGAGGGAGGAGCTTTGGGGGGAAATGATGTTCAGCGTAATATGCTTGGTCTCAGATACCTGTGGGGGATCCACTTATGGAAGTCTAGTAGGCTGCTGGATATGTATCGGTTTGAGAATTCATAAGACAGATGCAGGTTGAAGGCCTGTGTTTGGGAATCATTCTACCCTAGCATATCCCTTATAGCTCCTACCCAGCCTTGCTTCCATGCTTCTAGGCCTCCAGTTTATCAATTTTATTACCTTTTCCCCGTCCCTCGCCCCTTGCATGTCTTCATCCCCTCCTTATCCAGCTTAAACTCCATGGTTAGTCATGGTAGTTCCTCTCTTGCTTTATCATACTCACTTGACAAAACTATAATCCTGATTCATGCCTTCCGACCTGCTGTATACGTATACAGCTATACTGCCTACCCATCCGGCTGAACGTGGCTGTTGAAAAGCACACCACCAGGTTAACGCATCTCCCTGATGTTTATACTCAAAGTGGGGCCTACAAGCTGCCAAGTTGGACTTGTGAACTGCAGTCCATTCATTCTCCTTCTGTTCTAGATGCCAGCTTTCTACTGTCACCCTTCTCTTCAGATTGTCAGTACCCCCTCATCCTTAGCTGATCATCTTGTTTCCAAGTTCACTCAGAACACTGAAGCAATATGAAGAGAACTCCCACAGACTTTTTACTCTCACCTCCCAGAAATACTCCCCCCCTTTTCTGTGTTTCGTATATTCTTTTATATATATATATAATTTATATATATTTATATTTATTTATATTCTTATATGTATATATAATTAAAATGTATATTTTCAAAAAATGTATATTTTCATTTCTTCTTTCTTGGAAAAAAACCCTCACTGTCCTACCAGCGACGATCCCATTTCTTTTCTTTGTAGAACTCAAAAGAATTGCCTGTGCTCTGTCTCCAGGTACTCACTTCCCATCTCTCTTGAATCCACCCGAATAAGCTTTTCAACAACCAGTAGCATTTGATATGGTTGATTGCTCCCTCCTGTGTGATAAGCATTTCTTCACTTGGCTCTAGGTATTGCATTCTCTCTCTGTTTTCTGCTGCCTCACTGGCCATTCCTTTGCATCTTCTTGGTTAGTTCCCCTTTGCTCCCTGACCTCTCCATGTTGGAGTGCACTGGGGTCTAGTCCTGGTCCTCTTCCTTCATGATGCCACCCAGCCTCAAGGCTTGCCATGACATATGCTGATGACTCCTAATTTGCATAAATCCCAGACCTCTCTCCTCAACTTGAGACTCATAGACTCATAGACTCTCCCTCTTTGACATTTTTGCATGGATGTCTTGACTCCTCAATTTCAATAGGACCTAAGCTGATATCTGATCTGCCTTCCCTCCCCTAAACCTGCTCTACCTGCAACCTTCTTCATCTCTGTTGATGCCAACTCCACCTTTTCCTTTGCTCAGATGAAACACCTCTGATACATCTTTGACTTCTCTCTCTCATACTCCATACCCAGTCAGTTGAGAAATCCTATTATCTCTATTTCAGAATATATCCAGAATTTGAGTTCTTCTCACGATTGCCACTGCTATTCCTAGTCCAGGTCACCATTTTTTCTCTCTGGCATTATTGGAACAGCCTCCCCGATTGTATCCTACAGTTCATATTCAACACAGCAACTGGGCAGAGACTTTTCTTTTTTTTTTTTTAAAGATTTTATTTATTTATTTGAGAGAGAGAGAATGAGAGATAGAGAGCACGAGAGGGAAGAGGGTCAGAGGGAGAAGCAGACTCCCTGCCGAGCAGGGAGCCCGATGCGGGACTCGATCCCGGGACTCCAGGATCATGACCTGAGCCGAAGGCAGTCGCTTAACCAACTGAGCCACCCAGGCGCCCTGGGCAGAGACTTTTCAAATGAAAGTCCGTTCATGTCATGTCTCTGCTAAAACCTTCTCAGTGGCTCCTCCATGTCACCGAGTGCAGAAGCCCTATACAGTTTGGCCCCTTCATCTCTCTGTCTTGGTCCCCTGCTTCCCTTCAACTTGCCCACTCCATGCGAGCCACACTTGCTATTCTTGGACACGCCATGCTTCATGCCCCCTCCTCAAGGTCTTTGCACAGACTCTTCCTTTCTCCGCTGTGTTCTCCTTCCTGTTGTCCGCATGGCAGGTTCCCTCAACTCCTTCACGTCTCCACTCACACATTACCTTCTTAACAAAGACTACCCTGACCATCTTGTTTAAAATTGCAACCCTCCCTTCCTGGCCTATAACTGACACTCATCATGTCCCTTAACGGACTCTCTTCTCTTTGTGTAGTACATATCAGCCTCTAAGAATACCATTTAATTTACTTATCATGTTTATTGACCCTCCCTCCCCCAATTAGAGGTTAACTGGATCAGGGATCTTCATTTGTTTTGCTCACTGATGTATCCCAAATATCTACTACAGTACTTGGCACATGTCAGATGCTCAGTAAATAGATGAGTGGATGAATCAGCACATGAGGCCGTGGTGGTGGATGAGATTATTATGGACGGCGTGTGGGATGAAAGAGTAGAGGGTGTAGAGGACCAAATGCCTGGATCTGCCTTTAGTCAATAATAGAAGAAGTAGTAACACCCTAGAAGTTATTACTTCAGATATTTGGAGAGTATAACCCAAAATTCTGTTGCAGAATATAATATCCAAAGAGGATTGCCTGAATAATATATGGCCTATACATTCTTTTTGATATTCTGATTTTAATCTTTGGATTAAGCTCAACTGTCAGAGAGCTGCATATCTAGGACACTGTTACAGCTCCCCATGGAACTGTTTATTTTATTGAGTTTTGACTTTTCACCATTAGCCTACCACAAAAGGCATTATTTTAAAAAATCCTATAAGATTTCATTATATTGTTGAATTTATTACAGCTATATTATTGAGGTTGATGTTCTCTGTATCAGGAAGTGCCCTCTTTAAATCAGGACCAATGAGATAAAATCCCGTTGAATCTAATAATGATAGTCACTGTGGTTCTTTTGAACAACTGGTTTGATTTTATTTTGTGGAGATTGTATTTTATGTTAATGATTTTACCACTTTTTAAATTCTTTTTCATTTTTTTTAAAAGATTTTATTTATTGATTTGAGAGAGAGAGAATGAGAGAGAAAGCACATGAGAAGGGGAAGGGTCAGAGGGAGAAGCAGACTCCCTGACGAGCAGGGAGCCCGATGAGGGACTCGATCCAGGGACTCCAGGATCATGACCTGAGCTGAAGGCAGTCGCCCAACCAACTGAGCCACCCAGGCGCCCCTTCATTCTTTTTTTTTAAGATTTTATTTATTTATATGAGAGAGAGAGTGTGTGCGTGAGCAGGGGGAGGGGCGGAGGGAGAGGGAGAAGCAGATTCCCTTCTGAGTAGGGAAGCTGACTCGGAGCTCCATCCCAGGATCTCAGGGTTATGACGTGAACTGAAAGCAGATAGATGCCTAACTGACTGAGCCACCCAGGCGCCCCTCTTCTTCTTTTTCTTTTTTTTTTTTAAACCAGTGGGTTTTAGTATTTAGTGTTTTTTTCAGTTTTGCAATCCCCACAATCAATTTTAGAACATTTCATCACCCCCAGAAGAAACTCTGTGTCCTTTAGCTATTATTCCCAAATCTCCCTATCCCCCTTAGTCTTAGACAATCACTAATCTGTTTTGTCTCTATTGATCTGCCTGTTCTGGACATTTCATTTAAGTGGACTTGTAGAACGTGGTCTTCTGTGTCTGGCTTCTTTCACGGAGCATCATGTTTTCAAGGTTTATCCCATGTTGTAGTGTGTGTCAGTGCTTTGTTCCTTATAATACCGCATTTTATAATCTGCTTACCAATTGAATATTTGGATTGTTTCCACTTTTTGGCTATTAATGAATAATGCTGCCCTGAATAATTGTTTGCAAGGTTTGTGCAGACTTGCATTGCTTTCAGTTAGGTAAGTGTCCAGGAATGGAATTGCTGGGCCAAATGGTAACTCTGGGTTTAACTTTTGAGGACTGCCAGACTATTTTTCAATGTGACTTGGCCATTTTTCACTCCCTACAGTATCTTTTCCAACAGATATTATCTGACTTTCTGCTTCTGGCCATTCTAGTGGGTATGGAATGGTATCTTATTGTGCTTTGATTTGCAGTTCCATGATGGCTAATGATGTTGCTGTCTTTTCATGGGCTTATTTGCCATTTGTATATCTTGTTTGGAAAAATATCTATTCAGATTTTTTGCCCATTTTGTAATTTTTTTCTTTTTGTTAATGAGTTTGTAATAGTTTTTTAATGTATTCTAGATACAAGTCTCTAATCAGATAAATAATTTGCAAAAATGTTCTCCTGTTCTTTTGGTTATCTGTTCACTTTCTTGATAGCATCCTTAAACAAAGATTTTAATTTTGATTTAATCCAGTTTAGCTTTTTTGTTGTTGTTGCTTGTGCTTTTGGTATCATATCTAAGAAGACATTGCCTAATCCAGATCATGAGGATTTATTTCTTTTTTTGTTTTCCTAAGAGTTTTATAGTTGTCGCTCTTATATTTAGAACTGTGATGCATTTTGAATTATTTTTTGTGTATGCTGTGAAGAAAAGATCCAGCTTCATTCTTTCACATGTGGATGTCCAGTTGTCTCAGTAGTTTTTGTTGAAGAGATTATTTTTTCTCATTGAATAGTCTTAGCACCCTTGTTAAAAATCAGTTGACCATAGATATATGGGTATATTGCTGGGCTCTCAATTCCATTCCATGATCTATAAATCTACCTTACTCCTTTTTTTTTGTTTTGTTTTGTCTGCTAGTAAACTTAGAGCTCAATGTGAAACTTTCTGGCAGGTGTATAGGACTCTCAGGGATGAGATTAGTGGACTCACATCACCCCTGGCTTCCTATTTCCCTACTCCCGGGTTTCTTTATGTGTGCTCTATTAAAAAATCTTTTTTTGAAATGAAGTGTGGGATGTTAATAACTACAGTATCCTTACACTTCAGAGGTTTTATTAATCAGCTCTTACTGAAGGCTGGCTAATTTATACCTACACTTCTGTCAGCTAAAACATGTGAAATTTCTGTTAAATATCTTAAATGTTTCCCCCTGTCAAATTATTATTATCAGCTGATGTTGTTGTCTTTTTATTTACTTTTACTTGGAATTCAGATAATTTCTAAGATTAGCACCTACTTGGCTGCTTGGCTCTGTTTCTGTCATTAATAACTTATTATTCTCCCTCCTCCCCACATCTTAAATGATTATATTTATGTATACTGAAAGTGTGTTGAATATAATTTGGTGCTATGTTCAGAGAACTGTAAATGTTTATACCTATTTATTCAGTCATCCCATTTCCAAGTACCTAGCCTAAGGAATAACACTAAATATAGAAATGTGCACACTTAACAAATGTTTGCCCTACCTCATTCATAATTGTGGAAAATGGAAAATAACTGGTTTATGTCTTAGAGTGAGGGAATAGATGTTACCTATATTCTAGCCACTGAATGTACTAGTATGTACCTATTTTTAAAATAAAGGTAATAAAGACCATTCAGCAACTTAAAAATTAATGTCCTATAATGATAGATAAAAGAAGCACTATGCGAAATAGACGTATTGAATAGAGTTTAAGGAAATATGTAAATGACAATGGTTTTTCAGTATAAATTTATCATTCTTATGTTTTTAATTTTAAAACCTAGAATTATTGAAATTTGCAATTCTCATAGGAATCTTTCTCGCCCCTCCCCTTTCAGATGTGAATCTGGTTATACTGGACAGCATTGTGAAAAGACGGACTTTAGTATTCTCTATGTTGTGCCAAGTAGGCAAAAGCTCACTCATGTTCTTATTGCAGCAATTATTGGAGCTGTACAGATTGCCATTATAGTAGCGATTGTCATGTGCATAACAAGGTAGGTAATGACCTAAGAAATACCAAACTTAAATTAGAGGTGGGTAAATAGCTGTTAAATTAAAGAAGAACCTTGAAGCACACTCAAAATCATAGGTGCTTTAAGTTCTCCAGTCTATTAGGAAAAAAGTCCTAGGATCAGTTGCCTAAGGTTTCTATGTGGGTCTGACCTCTCCTTATCTTGCTTCTTTAGAATATGGGCAAGAACTCATTCTCAGGGTTACAGGTATAGCTGGGCTGCATGCAGATGGAGCATGAGAATATTCAGTAGCGTAAAGGAATTTAAGGATCTTAGAACTGCACTCAGGGATGATGATGGTAATAGCAGGAGGACCATGCCGAGGTTTTTAAAGCTCTGAGGAACTGGAAGGTGTTTTATACCCCAAGAATATACTTTATCCATAGTAAATATACTAAGAAAGGAAGAAACCAGAGATTAAAGAAAACTGCTTTTCTTATTATATCGTTGTCTTAACATTACTTCATTTCCTGGAATACAATCATAAGTCATCTCTAAAATTCTCCATCATAACTAAAACAATTGGCATTTATCATAACCAAACTCCAGATGAAAAGACATACTTGGATTACAGTGAGCATAAAATGGGTGTTTTCCAAACTGAGTGGAAATATATAATTCCAATTCTGGGCCCAAGAAAAGTCAAACTAAATCCAGTTCATATTGTCTTTCTGCTTCCCAGTGTCATGTCTTTTTTCTTGCATGGCTCTTCATACCTCCTTTAAGATTTGGTTCAGAAGTCCCATCAACATCATCTCTGCACTTTCTGCATTATTCTGGGCAGAGGATCGGAGCATATCAAGTACAGATATTGGCAGGCCATAAGGGATTTATGACTCTTCTCTCCAGGATCTGGCTAGAAGCCAGACCTTCAATACTCTCAGCCATCTGGAGCTGAAATGATAAAAAAAAAATGTTCTCTGAGTAACAGGTACTTTTCATAAAATTTAGGTGCTGAAGTCAGTGGACTTTATTTTTCTTTATTTAATTTTAAATTGGTAGCTTTTTTTTTTTAAGATTTAATTTACTTATTTGAGAGAGAGAGAGACAGAGATAGTGAGAGAGAACAGGAGTGGGGAGGAGAGGGAGAAGCAGGTTCCCCACTGAGCAGGGAGCCTGATGTGGGGCTTGATCCCAGGACCCTGAGATCATGACCTGAGCCGAAGGCAGACACCCAACAAACTGAGCCATCCAGGTGCCCTGCCAGTGCCCTTTATTCCACAGAACAGATGATCTGCCCTTAGGCAAGGCTACTGAGTATAAAATTGGGCAGTAGATGGGGCACCTGGGTGGCTCAGTCATTAAGTGTCTGCATTCGGCTCAGGTCATGGTCCCAGGGTCCTGGGATCGAGCCCCACATCGGGCTCCCTGCTCCGCAGGAAGCCTGCTTCTCCCTCTCCCACTCCCCCTGCTTGTGTTCCCTCTCTCGCTGTGTCTCTCTCTCTGTCAAATAAATAAAATCTTTTAAAAAAAAATTGGGCAGTAGATTAAAATAGGGATGTAATGATTAAAAAATAATGACAACAGAAAGGGCAAATAGAAGAAACCCATGTAATAGTAGGGCCATTTAATATAGGCTTAGAAGTTAAGTAATTTGCCTGTGGTCATCCAACTAGTAAGTGGAAGTGCCTGGATTTGGATTCAGTGCTGCCTTATTTCCAGAGCATTCCTCTTTACACTGAACCTTCAAGAGGAGGGTCCATGTTGAGTCATCTCAGGAAATATATTTGCCAGGTATGACCATTGCATGGGAGCAAGGTTCAGACTTGGTTTTTGAACAGTCAGGGGAACGACTTGGTATGAATCATTTTTTCAGAGCGTTGATCTGAGTGTCATCTGCAGAATTTCACTGGAGGTCAGGGGAACCATATAGGACATTATTCGAGGAAAGCTGGAATGGAGTAATGAATTATATGGAGGGTGAGAGAAAGAAATAAGGTAAAGATGAGGGAGGCTTTTGAGGCCCGGTGATAGTGTCATCTTTAAGAAGATCAAAGGAGAGTTGAGTCAGCAGGAAGCAACTTTGAGTCAACCCCTTCCGTTCTAGAGAAGTAAGGAAACTTGAGGGCCTGGATGGGGGAAGCACCTTACTCAAGATCAGGGAGATAGTTAAGCCCTTTTACAAATCCTAATCCAGCCTTTTATCCTGCTCTTTGCTTCTGTTCTCAGTGTGCTATAATCTTCTAAATTCTAATTCTATTCTACTAAGTTAAAATTACCTGACAGATAGTTTTCAAGGGCGTGCCTTCTAGCTGATATCCCAGATCCATTCGCTACCTTCACAGACACTTTGAACATCACAGTGTTTTTGCAACCGTGTTACACTGTCTTCACTGCCCACTGTCTCTGTGACTGAAGGGCCATCTCGCTGAATTTATCCTACATTTCTCCTTGCAGTCTGTCTTCTTACTGTTTTCTCCCCTCAAATGTTTTGCTTCATGAATTTAGAATATTATAATTATGTACTTGGGCTTAGCTCCACTGAATTTTTAAGGAGTGCCTCTCCCACACAGTCCATTATGGGACAACTGTTCACTTATCCTGTGGTGGCTGTCCCATATGAGGAATCTCCCTTTAAAAGGATGTTCCCACTGACTCACGTATCAAGACTGCATGAGTAAAACTTTCTTCTTTTATGCTTGGAATTTTCTTTCATATTTTTACACTCTTAGTATGATAGAATAGCAGGGACCTCAAGCATTACCCTAGCCAAACCCCTTTTTTTTATAGATGACAAAACCATGGCCCCAGGGAGTTGGAACTCTTCCAACGTCATGGTGAGTTGGTGACGGTTAAAGAGGTTTGCTTGGCCTCTCAACCATGAAATGGAGATGATTCTATCACTGTTTCCCTCAGAGTGTTTTTAGTGAGGATTAGTGAGATAAAATTTATGAAATACAGTATATGAAATGAAAGTGTTACCATCAAAACTTTTTAATAAGTCAAGCAAAGCAGTGCTTTTTGAAACTGAATTAAAAACATGGAACTTTAGGAGCACTCCTTGTTGCAAGACTTTCTTTCCATTAGATTATAAATTCCTTGCTGGCAGGGATCTTAGAGGTTGGTTCAATTTTTAATATTTCATATATGGGAAAAGGGTGTTGCACAGCTAGGTTTTAGCAGAGCCCGAGCTCAAAATTACCAGATTTGATCCCAGTGCCTTTGTTCCACACTACATACCACAGCACTCGTGTGTTTGCATTCTAGTGGGCAGACACAAGAGCGGGTACAACACAATGAGATTTATACCACCATGGAGAAACAGGTACGGTAAAATGAGAGCAGAGTCAAGGACTATCCCTTATCCCCGGCGTGACAGTTCTGTATTGGGTTCTGTGGTTTGCTCAAGCAGGCTGTGGAACAACTTCTTTTGAGTCATTGTCTAAAATCACTAAGCATTTCCTATGTATTCATTCCTGTGCATGCACACTTCTTCTTAATTACTCCTTTATCCAAGCTGTTCTTGTCAGTTTGGGGGTGTCCTGATGCTCAGGAAAAGCACACAGGCCAGGATCCTTTCTACTGTCCGAGGTTTATGTGTTTATCAGTCACTGTGGCTAGGGAGTTGTCAGGTCAGAAGAAGGGCGGGGATTCCTCTCAGGGAGGCATATGCAGCAGTAGAGACCCAGGAGTGAGCTTTGCTTGTGCTCACACCTGCATCCCGTACCTAACCCTCTCACCTCCCAGCTGTGTAGGGAAGACAGCAGTCTGACATGTTGGTCCTCAGCTTGTCTTGCATCAAACAGCATCCTCTTGCCCAATATGGCTTTGTGTGTGAAACATGTATTACTTTGGAAACATTTGAAATCTCTTAAACAAAATGACCTTTTTCTTTTCTTTATTTTTTTTTTTTAACTCAACAGAAAATGCCCTAAAAACAACAGAGGAAGACGACAGAAGCAAAATCTAGGTCATTTTACTTCAGATACATCATCCAGAATGGTTTAAACTGATGACTTTTATATGTACACTAACCATGTGATGTACATTTATTATGTCTTTTTTTAAAGAATGGAAATATTTATTTCAGAGGCCTTATTTTTGGACATTTTTAGTGTAGTACTGTTGGCTCGTATTTAGAATATTCAGCTACAACAGTTTTGGACTGTTCAGTAGTCTTTGTTTTATGTTTTTAAATACAGAAATTGATTTCACAAATTTATACCACATGGTAATTCTAAGACTTGTTCTTTACCCATGGAATGTAATATTTTTGCAAAGATGGACCACTTCACAAATGGTTATAAAGTCATACCCACTTCTTCCACAATGACCACAACAAATGACCAAGCATGAACTAAAGGTAAAGATGTTTACAGATTACTTTTCTTACAAAAAAAAAGATAAAAAAATCTAGAAGACACTGTGTTTAAATAGACATTTAAATGTTTTTGAGATTTAGTAACTGATTTTTTAGACACTGCCTATCGCATGAACTGTAAAGTTGTGTGTGTTAGATGTAAAGTATTTATAAGTTGTATGGATTGGAATTTGATTATTCCTCTCTTTGAAAAAATAATTCTGATAATTTGGAAAAGTATCTGGTAGCAAAGATGGAACAGATCACTGGAAAGTAGATTTTTAGATATTGTGAAAATAGTCTGTTTAACAAACAGATTGGAATAAAGCCTTCTCTATCAGTTAAACTACTTTAATACACGTTTGTTTTTAAGAAAATATTTGTTTTAACATAAATAAACAAAGTGTATCTGTGTTTGTGAATAAAATGCAAAAATGATTGTAAATGATTGGTGCTCTTAGGTGAGCTTAAAAATTATCTAAGACCTCTATCCAAATTTGTCCTGTAGTAATAGCTGTATTAATAGATCGTTGGTGTTTAGAGATCTGAAATGTGAGTAGAATGTATTCAGCTGTTTAACTTGTAGTTTAGATTATGCATGTAGAATTTAAGAATATGTTCAAAATTAAATATTAATTTTAATATTTGGTTTGGAAAAGCATGTTATAATATAATGTTTTCACTATATGGCCTCTGTTTTGGTGTGTTTATTTACCACATTCTTTGCTATTGATAAATCAGTACATTTAATACGTGACGTAAGTAGGAAAAGATTTCAGTTCAAAATTCCCTTTTGCTTTTGCAAATACTGCTTGAAATTATCTAAAGACAGAAGCTTTGCCCAACATGCAGCATTTGCTTTTCTGGTCATTTGGCTTCTAGGCTTAATATTAGTAACGTGGCAGCTTTGGGGAACTTTTTTTTTTTTTTTAAAGCTTTCCTCTTCTCTCCACACAGACTTATTTGAGCCCATTAGTCAGTCGCCAAGCATGTTTGGAACAGTACCCAGTGCTCTACAAGGGTTCATGTTGCAGAACAGTCACGTGTGGGTATTTGTAGTTATAAATACTTGACCAGTCTCCAGGGGTGGGGTTTCCAACCCTTTAAACAACCCTGTTGCCTGTTACCAAGCTAACTTTTTACTCTTAGCGCCAGAACTGATCGTGGCGGGACATCTTTCACTGAGAAATAACTAAAATGGAACATAATGGGTCAGCTTCAAATGCTGATAAAATCCACCAGAATCGCCTGTCAAGCGTTACAGAAGATGAAGACCAAGACGCTGCTCTCACCATTGTGACCGTGCTGGACAAAGTAGCCACCATCGTGGACAGCGTGCAGGCGAGCCAGAAGAGACTAGAGGAGAGACACAGGGAAATGGGAAATGCCATAAAGTCCGTCCAGATTGACCTGTTGAAGCTTTCACAGTCACACAGCAATACAGTCTATGTCATTAACAAGTTGTTTGAGAAAACGCGAAAAGTCAGTGCTCACATTAAAGACGTGAAGGCCCGGGTAGAGAGGCAACAAATTCACGTGAAAAAAGTTGAATCCAAGCAAGAGGAAATAATGAAGAAAAACAAATTCCGTGTGGTAATATTCCAGGTAAGCTTGCCACCTGCGTTTGGTCTGATTACTGCAAAATCTTAACATCCTTGAATTGCCAACCAGTCATACGAGAAGTTTCCGGCATCACATCCTAACTATTGTATATATTCATGGAGTGGAGTTCTTTATCAGCGAGAATCCCAGGATAAAGCCATTTCTGTGTTGACTAATGTGCTATCCTATCAGTATGTGGAGTTTCTCAACTATTTTGTGTAATAGGAACTGTGGATCATAGCTGAGGCTATTTCTTGCCTTTGAAACTTAATATTGGTACGACTCTTTCAGTATATTAGCCATCTCAGCATGGTGCCCTTTTGGAGACTGAGAATATTAGTTCTAGAAGAGATCTAAGAAGACTCTGGTTTAAAACACCTCTTCGTTGTATAAAAAAGAAACCGAGGACCCATAGTCCCACAGTGTCGTTTTCCCCTTTATCATGGAGAGCCTGAAAAGCTCTAAACAGTAAAATGTAAACTCTTTGGAATATTATTTGTCTGTTGGAATTTTTACATGTGGTAATATGTAGGTTACAGAAAAACTGTTTCATAATGAATAATCAGGCAGGTGTTTTTATAGTTGTTATAGTTTTACAAATGTTGGAATCATAGAAGTAATTGCTTCTGTTTGATTTCAAAGTCTTTTGACTCCACTTAGTTAATATAGTTGTTTCAGTGTGGCATTGTGCATTGCGCTATGTTCCTATATTACTCTGCGTTTGGCATTCATATTTTTTGAAATAGGAACACATCCATGGCGAAATGCATGGTATCTGTAATATATTTTAGGACTCTTACAAATCAAAAGGGAAAAGTTGAACTCTTCCCCCTGTGGTAGAAAACCAGGAAAGTCATGATCAGACTGTTCATAAAAGACAAAAGATCAGAATTCCATTTTTGCCTATTTAAGTATTTTCAGTTATTAAAACATATACTCAGAGTTTAAGGGTTAAAAAAAAACAAGCACTTTCATATTCTGGTGGGAATATTAACTGGCACAACATTTCTGGAGGGAAGTTTTGGTAGTATGTTATTAAGAACCTTCACAAACCTTCACAAATGGCCCCAAAATTTCATGTCAAAGAATTTTTCTAAGCATAAAATCAGGAATGTGTGCAGGGATATTCACTGTATACACACACACACACACACACACACACACACACATTGTCACAGTGTATTTTTAAAATGGATGGATACCCCTATGCATGGGAGAAAACCTTCGAAGAGTAAAAACAAAATGAAATGGGAACACAGTTGGATTATGTAGGCAGATATTTATAAGACACGAGGGATGTGGGCCATAATTCTCCACAGCATTGTCTACACTTGAAGTCTCCATTGTGCTCTGTTGACTGATAAAGTTACACTGGGATGGCAGAGTAGTATTTGGGATCTGTTTTTAAAAACCTGTTTTATTTAAGAAAAAGAGGCCAGTCCCAGGGTTAGTGTATATAATGGGGATCTAGATTTGGTACTAGAGAATGTAGGATCCATTCTTCAGTTCACCTTCCAGGGGCATTGGCAGGAATGGGTTATATTGCACCCTTCACTTGCATGGGGCATGCCAGGAAACATTCTTGGTATCTAGCATTTCTCCTGAGAACCTTTGTGCAGAGTGGACCAGGTACCAATCAAGATCTACAAAGTCTAGAGGAAAGAAGTTTCTGAAAAGTTCTAATCGACTCTTGTCTATAGACATAATTTTTGTTTTTTGTTTTACAGTTAAAATTGTTTTCTATATTCACCTATTTATTCCCTGAAACTTGCTTTTTTTTTTTCTGAGTTTCTGTAATGAGTTGAATAAGTAGAAGATAGTATGAAAAAGCTACTGAGAGGCGCTAATTTAAGTCAAATCTTGTTCTTTGTAAGATACAATGCTGTGAAGGTTCTATGAAATTAGGTGGTTGAGGGAGCAGTAAGTTTGTCTATAAGCAGCTGCTGTCCTTTATAACCGTAGAGCTTGTAGAGAAAAGATGAAGGCAAATAACAATGGATTTGATGATTCATGAGCTGTTAGAACACTGTACAGTGTGCACATGGTTATATTTAGTTAAAATTCATTCTTATACTTCATTCTCATAGTTAATATGTATAAGTGGTTATACTGAGATCACCTGTCCTACTAAAATTAACTTGAAGCTGGAGTAATTCAGCTGTAGTATACTTTCATTTCCACTTGGTTTTTCCTCAAAAATTTTTCCCTGGATACATCTTTTCGGGGCAGTCTTTATTGGCATTTTATCTCCCACAGGAACTTTCACCTAATCCTGGACATTGGCATTAAAAAAAATTATCTGCTCTTTTTCATACAATTATGATTTCTCTTTGAACATACTTTCACCTTAATGACCTTCTCATGAGAGCCAGCAGTCATACCATCTCTTCTAGCAATTTTGCTTACAAACCACATGCCTGCAGTTACCAAATGAGATGTTTGGCCATTCCCTAATGATAAGCCTTGGACTTCTCTATATTCAAAAGTCCCCTAGCTAGGTTACTTTGATACTCAATAAGAGCCACTTTACTCTGACCATAGTACTCGCTTTGTTACAAAAATTGTTTTACCTGGACTTTTACATAAAAAGATATGTAATAAGGGGCGCCTGGGTGGCTCAGTTGGTTAAGTGTCTGCCTTTGGCTCAGGTCATGAACTCAGGGTCCTGGGATTGAGCCCCTGGTTGGGCTCCCTGCTCAGCGGGGAGTCTGCTTCTCCTACTCCCTTCCTCACAACTTGTGTTCTCTCTCTCAAATAAATAAGTAAAATCTTTAAAAAAGATATATAATAATTATTTGAAAATCAACTGTAACTCAACCCCATAATCTTCAATTATTATTACAGTATATTCATCATTAACTCATGGTATCTCTGACTCAGTAGGAATTGCAACAAAGAGATCCATGTAACAAGTACTTTCTCTGACTACCTGTTTTGTTTTTAAGTGTGATTTTGTATAATTCATGCAATTGAAAAAAAGGGTATATGATTTCTGAGTTAAGCTATGTCTTATTCCTTCATAGCGAGATTGTGAGGGTTTTCCCCCTACTAAGCAGTAATTATTCTTTGGCTCCTTCTTATTCTAATTATACCTTCTCAGGCCATACCAGCCCACTTGGTATTGCTGAAGCTACTCCCTGTAGCAGGTGTCAGGAAAGGAGAGGAATAATTTTGCTGCTTCTCACTGATTCATCAGAGAGTTATGAGACGCCCACCTGCCTTTTCTTCTTTTTTAAGCTGCTAGACTCTCTAATCCTGTAGCCAAAGAATTTAATTTTAAGCAAGTATCCAAAGAAATAAGGTTCCAAGGACCTTCTTGACTGTCAGGCTGATGGGTTTTGGAATAAACCTATTTCTTACATATTAATTTTTTTGATTGAACAGATTTCATCTGGATCTCAAATAGGAGCATAGTTTCTTTTAGAAATTTTAACTCATGGGTTCCCTTAAAAAAAATCTCATCATCCTTAAAGTTTTGCCTGTTTAGTTTTGGAAATAATCCCTAAATATTTGGGTTTCTTTAGCAGCTGTGTTTCTGGGCCGGTTTGCAAGGGTGTCCAGTGTCTGCCTTGTTCCCAAATCAAATTCTCATCCTTATCCTTTGACACATCTGATGTAGTTGGTCTCTCCCTCTCTTCTTGAAACTTCTTTTTCCTTGGCTTTGGGGGTGCTGCTCTCTTCAATTTCCTTCTGCTTCGCTGCCGATATTTCTCCTTTTTGGTTCTTTCTCATCTCTTCCTTTTTATTTACAGGTTCAAAATCCATTTATCTGTCTAAACCCCAAAATCCAAAAATTTCTAAAAAAAGTTTCCATAACATACTGGGTAGCAAGACCTAGGGTTGACCTGAACCCATTTGGTGACAAAACTGATCAGAAATAGCACAAGGCTGTTTATACTCTTTATCCTACCTTAGAGTGAATATTCATAATTATTTCACAGAATTGTTTCTTCCCAAGGTCTGACTGGAAATGTAGTGTAATATATTTTTTCCCCAAATCTGAATATTCTGAATTCTGAAATTTACCTTGGCCCCAAGAAGTTTGGATAACATTGAGTGTTGACCCATTCACTCAGTCTCTTAGGAGTCTCCTTCATCTGGTTTCATGATTTTTAGTTCTTGACATTAATGATTCCTAAAGTTATATCTCTAGTCCAGACCTCTTTCCTGAATTCCAGGCTTGTATACCCAGCTGCCTACTTGACATCTTGGATCCCAACCTTACCCTCCAGTCTCTTCATCGTGCTTTCTTCCCCATGTCAGTTAATGGGAAATCCATCCTTCTGCTGCTCAGGTCATGTACTTGAAAATCGTCCTTGACTCTGATACTCCACATACAAATCTAGCAGTAAGTCCTGTTAGCGCCTACCTTCCCAGGAGATCTGGAATCAGACTGCTTCTCATCATGGTCTCTACCAGCATCTTCATGCATCTCTCAACTGACTTACCTCAGGGGTTTCCAGGCACTCTCCTTGCTTCTTATCTCACCCCCTAGGGCCTGTTTTCACCAGAGTGATCCTTTTACAGCATGGGTCAAATCATGTCACTATTCTCAAAACTTTTAAAAGGGCTTCCTATTAGGGGCGCCAGTTTAGTGAAAAGAATTTTCATTATAAAAATATGGAAGCAGGGGCGTCCGGGTGGCTCAGTCGGTTAAGTGTCTGCCGTCTGCTTAAGCCATGGTTCTTATTATTGGATACAGAACCGTACATGAGCTGGCCCTCCCACTACCTCTCTTAACCTCTTTCCTCCTCTTCTTGCCCCTTGATCTCTCTGCTCCTGCCATACTGCCTTCCTTGCCCATTTTGGTTTTCCTCCCAAATATATGCATTACCTTCTGGTCTAGGCCAGGATGTCATCTTATCAGTGAGGACTTTCTAAGCATCTTCCTTAGTCACTGCATATCCCCCTTCCCTACTTTATATTTCACCTTAGCATTTACCACCATTCAACAGACTATATATTTAACTTGTTTATTTCTCTCTCTTCAAGAATATAAGCTCTTTTACTCTTTTCTTCTCAGGAGGTTCTCACTTCCTAGAACATTGACTGGTGCTTGCTAGGTGCTTAGAAACTGTTGAACAAAGGTGTATATCCTATTTGATTGAACAGTCATTTATTGAGGATAACTACTATGTACAAGGCTCTCTGATAGATACTGGGTGTAAAACATAGGACGCATCTCTGCTTTCATCAAACCTATTATTTAGTGAAGGCCTCAGTATATAAATGAATAGACTTCAAATTCAATTCAAACAGTGATTAAGTATTCTAAGTAGAGGTGTGTACATGTCATTCTGGTGTGAATTGGAGAAAGAATTAGCTTCTTGGGGGGAAGTTGGGGACATTTGAATTGATTCTTGAAGATTTTGTTGACAGAGCTGAAAAGGGGTGAAAGGCATTAAAAGAAGCAAAAAAAAAAAAGTAGTAAAAAATATACAAAGACATAGAGAGATGAAAACACTGTGTTTGAGGAGCAGAGAGTGGTTGTGTGTTGCTGGACTAGAAAGTAGGTTTAGCTCAAACTGAAGAGCCTTCTAATCATATTAAAGAACTGACTCTTTCCTGTGAATATTGATGAGTTCCCAAAAGTTTTAAAGTAGAAAAAGGATGTGATCAGAGCTATGCTTTAGAAAGTTTTCCCAGGTTTTGATTTGAATTTCCCTGATGGCTAATGATGATGAACATTTTTTCATGTGTCTGTTAGCCATTTGCATGTCTTCTCTGGAGAAATGTCTGTTCATGTCTGCCCATTTTTTGACTTGATTATTTGTTTTTTGGGTGTTGAGTTTGAGAAGCTCTTTATAGATCTTGGATACCAGCCCTTTATCTGTAGTGTCATTTGCAAATATCTTCTCCCATTCTGTGGGTTGCCTCTTTGTTTTGTTGACTGTTTCCTTTGCTGTGCAGAAGCTTTTTATCTTGATGAAGTTGCAAAAGTTCATTTTTGCTTTTGTTTCACTAGCCTTTGGAGATGTATCTTGAAAGAAGTTGCAGTGGCCGATGTCAAAGAGGTTACTGCCTATGTTCTCTAGGATTTTGATGGATTCCTGTCTCACATTGAGGTCTTTTCATCCATTTTGAGTTTATCTTTGTGTATGGTGTTAGAGAATGGTCGAGTTTCATTCTTCTGTATATAGCTGTCCAATTTTCCCAGCACCATTTATTGAAGAGACTGTCCTTTTTCCATTGGATATTCTTTCCTGCTTTGTCGAAGATTAGTTAACCATAGAGTTGAGGGTCCATTTCTGGGTTCTCTATTCTGTTCCATTGATCTATGTGCCTATTTTTGTGCCAGTACCATGCTGTCTTGGTGATCACAGCTTTGTAATATAGCTTGAAATCAGGCAGTGTGATGCCCCCAGCTTTGGTTTTCTTTTTCAACATTTCCTTGGTGATTTGGGTCTTTTCTGATTCCATACAAATTTTAGGATTGTTTGTTCCAGCACTTTGAAAAAATGCCCTTGGTATTTTGATCAGGATGGCATTGAAGGTATAGATTGCTCTGGGTAGCATAGACATTTTAACAATGTTTATTCTTCTGATCCATGAGCATGGAATATTTTTCCATCTTTTTGTGTCTTCAATTTTCTTCATAAATGTTCTGTAGTTTCTAGAGTATAGATCCTTCACCTCTTTGGTTAGGTTTATTCCAAGGTATCTTAAGGTTTTTGGTGCTATTATAAATGGAATCGATTCCCTGATTTCTCTTTCTATAGTTACATTGTTAGTGTATAGGAAAGCAACTGATTTCTGTGCATTGATTTTGTATCCTGCCACATTACTGAATTGCTGCATGAGTTCTAGTGTTTTGGGGGTGGAGTACTTAGGTGATGCTTTGGAGGTAGACGAATTATTGCAAAAGTTCAGGCTTGAGATGACAGAGACCTGAATTATGACATTGGTAGAGGCAAGAAAGAAGGAGGAGGGGCAGGAGTTATTAAGCAGTGTTATCGATGGTGCTTGGTGACCTGCTGGATATGGGATGAGAAGGAGAGGAAATAGTTGGGTTGAAAATTCTGAGATTTCTCTTTGGGTGGCACCTAGAGGGGGGTTGGTGCTGAGAGGCCCAGGAAAAGAAGCAGCTGTGGAGAGGATGCTGTGTGGACCTTAATTTTTGGACATTTAAAAAAAATTTGTATTTGTTTATTTTTATTTTTATTTATTTAATTAATTTATTTTTAAGTAGGCTCCATGTCCATCATGGAGCCCAATGCAGGGCTTGAACTCATGACCCTGAGATCAAGATCTGAGCTGAGGGGTGCCTGAGTGGCTCAGTCAGTTAAGCATCTGCTTTCAGTTCAGGTCATGATCCTGGGGTCTTGGGATCGAGCCCCGTGCTTCTCCTTCTTCCCCTGCCTCTCCCCCTGCTTGTGCTCTCTAGCTCTCTCTCACTTGCTCTCTCAAATAAATAAATAACATCTTTAAAAAAAAAAAAAGACCTGAGCTGAAACCAAGAGTCGGACACTTAACTATCCGAGGCACCCAGGTGCTCCTGGACATGTTAAGTTTGACATGTTAAGTTTGAGGTGTCTCTGTTACAGGGAGGTAACATCTGTCTGTCATTTAGAATTGTGTCTTCATCTTAGGAGAAGGGGAGAGGTGAAGATAAAAATTGGTGAGTTTGCTTAGCATTGGATCTGAAAGCGGAGGAGTGGAACAGGTTCCTCCAATTGAGCTTGGGAAATGAAGCAATGAGGGACAAGGAGAGAGAAACCCTGAGAAAAACCAACAGTTAAGGAGCAGACAGAGGGTGCACAGCCCATGGAGGAGATGGAAAAGTCATGGCCAGAAGGTAAAAGAACTGGTATCTAATGTGCTTTCTTTTTCTGTCCTTCAGGAGGAGACTCGGTGTCCGACATCCCTGTCTATTGTTAAAGACAGAAGCCTAACTGAGAATCAGGAGACCGATTTTGATGTCTTTGACCCTCCAATAGATCTGTCTTCAGATGAAGAATATTATGTCGAAGAAAGCAGATCTGCCAGGCTTAGAAAGTCAGGCAGGGAGCGCATTGATAATATCAAAAAGGCATTTTCCAAAGAAAACATGCAGAAGACACGGCAGAATTTTGACAAGAAAGTGAACAGAATTAGAACAAGAATAGTGACCCCAGAGAGGAGAGAAAGGCTAAGGCAGTCGGGAGAAAGGTTAAGGCAGTCGGGAGAGAGGCTGAAACAGTCAGGGGAAAGGTTTAAGAAATCCATTTCTAATGCAGCTCCCTCAAGGGAAGCTTTTAAGATGCGTAGCCTTCGGAAAGCTAAAGACCAAACTATGGCTGAAGATGCGGAGGAGGTCAGGGAGATGGGTGTGGACATCATTGCCAGGAGCGAGTCTCTGGGCCCCATCAGTGAGCTCTACACTGATGAGCGCAGTGAAACAGACCACAGGGAGGCCAGGGCGGTGTATCCTCCCATAGAAGGAGGAGAGATCCCCACCCCTGAGCCTTTAAAAGTTACTTTTAAACCCCAGGTGAAAGTGGAGGATGATGAATCTGTTTTGCTAGATTTAAAGCAATAATCATAAAGAGGAACTAAGCATAATATAAGTATAAATCTCTTAAATCACAAGCTTCTTGTTTAGTCATTTACATTTATAAAATAGTTATTTACATTTGTTCGTAGGAAAACATGAATGATATGGCTGGTTTCATTTCTGATGTTTAAAATCTTAAAGATAACACAAGTATTCTATACATTTCCTTATAACTTCCTTGGAAATTCCTTTTTCTCCCCTGGGCTTATATGATTCTATCAGCTTTCTAAGTCATTCTTATGGCAGCTGTGGATTTTTAAGTTCTTTTCTCTTGCCCAGCAGGAAAGCAGTTTCTTAGGGAGGGCCAGTTAGGTGTTTGGTGTCTAAAACATAGGAAGGGCAAATTTGTAGCCATCATTTGCAAGTGAACTCTCAAATTTGGTCTAGATGGGTGTTGTGGCCAAGCTCAAAGGGGAATTACCCATGTGTGGATTATGTCATCCATATGTTCAAAGAGATTAGTCAATTCATTAGTCAAATAGATTCATTAGGTGTAGTCACACATCTTTTTGATGCTTTTGTGTAAAAAATAGGAAGTTCTGCACTTGAGCATTTGGTTCTGGCATTATAGCTTTGCTTATACCAAGCCACTTGGCAGATCACCTGCTAGTAAACTCATCAGTAAAATGGAGAGGGTTTGTCTATCCCATCTCGGAGGACTGTTGTGAAGGCCAAAGGAAATGTTACACATTCTGGGGGAACAGCACATCCAGAGGAAAACAAACCCCACTGGTTCCTCAGGAACAGAATTGAAATAATTATACCTTCTGAAAAAGACTTGAGCGCCAAGCATTGAAGACCTAGGTTGGACAGAAGCTAAAGTTGGTCTTCAGAAGCCTTTTCACAGAATAAGGAATGAGAAATAAATGTTCGACATTTTTTTTTGTCAAAGATTAAAATCCAACCTTGGGTAGGGTCTTAAAATGTTTCCTGGAAACTCCTTTTCTAATTTTCTTTTGATTTAGAGCTATAGTAGACTAGAGCCATCTTTGAGCTGCATGAAGCGTAAAACTAAGTGTGTCTTCAAGAGGACTTTCTAAAGTCTTTCCTGATGCAGTGGGTTTGGAAATGACCTTATGTTTCTGTTTTCCAGAGCGAACCCCTCAGGGCCTGTCTGTCCAAAACAGTGATCATAGGAATTCATTGTAGCTGGTTTGGGAGGAAGCCAGACTCCACTTAACCATTAGCTTTAGATCTAGCCAATCTGGACCAATCTCTTCGAATGAGAGAAATGGTCATACTGGTTCTGCACTTCTGGTATGTTTAAATCTTCTGGTTTTATAATGGGGAAGAAATGATGGAATTGTTGAATTTGAAGAGTTTAGACAGGCAGCTTTCAGATGAATTTGGGGTGCTCCTGTAGTAGTTAAAATTTATAATAAATATACACAGATAGAGACAGACACACATATCAGCGTTAAAGTATTTGATTACCCAGATATTTGGGTTTGGGAGTTTAATTCAATATCATTCCCTCTTCATTCTGCAAGAATACATAAAGTCATGAATTGTGCATCTCAATTATCTTTTTATATTGAAAACTAAAGTGTTTACAACAGTCTTTGGAAAGAACAATTTAAAAAAATTTTTGTAGTTTAGAAAGAGCTTGGATGCCTCGTCACATATTTCCTTAAACCATAATAAATTTGAATTTTAAAAGGATAATATTATAAAGTTTGATGTTGGTATCCTATTTGTAAATATTTTCACTAATCAAATAACATGGCATGAATTTGATATAGTAACCCTTCTCATAATAGATATGTTTCTAAGTTAAGAAGAATATAAGAAGTTGTAAGCTTTTTCTTTTTTCTAACCCTACGCAGAGTAAATGTCAATTGGGCTAAAATATTTTTCTGTAAATATTACTGTCAAGGAATTTTTGTAAAGTTTGTTTGCTTACTGACCTATTATATCACCAGACTTGACATTATGGAACATTTCCCATATAGATATATCTGAATTTTGATGTGGAAAGCATTATAACCTGGTCAGCTTTTCATCCTGATAGACTTTGTACACCCCAGAAACACAATTGAATGTTACCAGAGTTTCACTGAAACCTTATACTGCTTTCTTGGTACTAGGATTTTTCCCTTCATATTGCTTCTGTCTCTTGACATTTTCCACCATATTTAGGGTATTTCTCGATTCTCCATTCATAATTTTTTCCCTTTTCACCCCATTTTCTTGATGAGTGTCTATTTATTATAGGCTGTAAAATCACACATCGCCATTTAATGCAAAGAATATTCTTGTCAAGGTCCCTTAGTTCAGAAGTTTCAGACAACACAGAACAGACTTTCTGATTCTCAACAATTTATTCAATAAAAACATGAGCAGGATTTATCTTTTTTTCCTTTTATGGGGCAAAATCGTGCAACATCCATAGACACCAAGGGCAGGGAGCCTCGGTGGTGTAGTTCTGTCTTCTACTCATGGCAGATCCAGGGGCTTTCCTCTGAGAGTTTATGGTGGCCTGGTTCTGGCTTGTTCGTTAAAACAGGCCAAATGTACAGTAGTGATGAGAGGAGCATGAAAATCCAGCTTGCTGGGAATGTGTTGGGGGGTGTGTGTGTGTGTGTGATCTCCTTTCGACAAGTTTTCATAAATTAAAAATACAAACTGAAATACAATATTTTCATTTTGACTCCATTCTTTGCCTTTTATGCACATTTAACGGTTTGGTTTAGAACGAAGCCTGAAGTTCATTGTCACTCTTACCAGGTAAAGAGCATGGGTTCTGTTACATAAAATATTTCACAGAATCATTGTTAGCTGTACAATTCCATTCCAGGCCCAAATTACTGAGCCTTTTTTTTTTCTGAGACATATTTTCTACAGCTTCTTTTATTGAATCTTACTAAAAAAAATTATAGTTTACATTCCCAAAATAAATTGCTCTGGCATATTTGAGTCAAGACTATGGGGAATGATGACTATGGTCTTATCCTCAATTCTATTTGAATTTTGGGCATGCTATTACCTAGTTTGAAAGTGAATGAAAAATGAAGAAGCCTTAGTGCTGAATTTTGTATATGATTCTTGGGACCAACTACCTCTGAGTTATGTGATGCATGAGGATTTGTAGCTGTCCTTACCAGGTCAGAATTTTTCAGTGTATTTCATAGGTAGATAGGGGACCTAGGATAAGTACCTCTTCACTGTGAGTCTACTAGGATATCCAAGGATCCCTGAGAGGATGGAGTGAAGTGGTAGAATGTACTCAGGCTTTGAATTTACTTTGTGCATTTTTTTAAAAGATTTTTATTTATTTATTTGACAGAGAGCACAAGTAGGCAGAGCGGGAGGGAGAGGGAGAAGCAGGCTCCCCGCCAAGCAGGGAGCACGATACGGGGCACAGTCACGACCTGAGCCGAAGGCAGACGCTTAACAGACTGAGCCACCCAGGCGCCCCCTTTGTTCATCTTTTTAAAATCAGCTGTGCTTGTCCAGCCTCTCCCCTCCCCCAACCGCTCTGCCTCTTGATGCCTTTGCTTATGCCATTTGTCTCCCTGTCATTCTGGGTGATGACTTTCAAGTTCAGTGATAATGTCAATTTCCTCATTTTAGCTTTCTTTGGTCACCTCCCACCCCTCAGGAAGGGTATGCTTAATTACTCCGTATATTCAATATATACAGCACATTTATATGCCAGCTTCTATGTCAGGCACTGAGGATTCAAAGATGAATAGAACACAGTCTGTGTCTCCCCCTCCCCTCCACTTTCCCAATCCTTATCCTGGGCTTACAGTGTTCTGGGAGACAGTCAAGCAAAAATTCAGCAACGTGAGTAGTGCTGTGTATAAGATGATGGAACTGTAGGAATGGAAGATGCTTTGTATAGAATTCTGATCATACATCTTTTGTAGCACTTACATTGTATTCTAGTTTATTTGTTTAACTGCCTTCTAGACTAGACTATGCTTCTCAAGGGCAGGAATTGTATTTTATTCCTCTTTGGGTCACCAGCACTTGGGGGAGCCTCCCATGTGCTAGCTATCATTAAATATCATGAAGGACATGGTTCTTGCAGTTAAGGATTTCTTCCCCTGGTGGAGGAGTTAGGTAGCCCAATATTGGTTTATTTTATTTTATTTTTTATTGTTATGTTAATCACCATACATTACATCATTAGTTTTTGAGGTAGTGTTCCATGATTCATTGTTTGCGTATAACACCCAGTGCTCCATTCAATACTTGCCCTCTTTAATACCCATCACCAGGCTAACCCATCCCCCACCCCCCTCCCCTCTAGAACCCTCAGTTTGTTTCTCAGAGTCCATAGTCTCTCATGGTTCATCTTGCCCTCCGATTTCCCCCCCCCTTCATTTTACCCTTCCTATCTTCTTTTTTTTTAACGTATAATGTATTAATTTGTTTCAGAGGTACAGGTCTGTGATTCATCAGTCTAACACAATTCACAGTGCTCACCATAGCACATACCCTCCCCAATGACTATCACCAATATTGTTTTGATAGGAGCCTCAGGTTTAAGAAAGGATGATGGGACCACGGAGGAAAAGGATCTAACAAGCGGGCTAGGGGCTGCCAGGGAAAGCTAGAGAAAATGATGCTTCAGTTGCCATTTGAAGACTAATGAAGAGTCAGCTAAATAACAGAATTCAAGGCAAGATTCAGTTATGGAGGTTGTGTGAAGGTGTTTTGGGTTTTATGTCAAAGGCCACAGAGAGCCATTGATGGATTTTAAGCCATGGAGTGCTATGATTTGTTTACAAAAGGATGCTCTTATTACCATACCAGAGGCAGGGAGACCAGTTACTAGGGCCTTTATGTTTTCCTAGGTGAGAGAGTAGCACCTGCCCTATAGCATTAACAGAACTGTGAACGGGGGTGAGGGGGAGTGGGGGGGCGCCTGGGTGGCTCAGTCATTAAGCGTCTGCCTTCGGCTCAGGTCATGGTCCCAGGGTCCTGGGATCGAGCCCCACGTTGGGCTCCCTGCTCAGCGGGAAGCCTGCTTCTCCCTCTCCCACTTCCCCTGCTTGTGTACCCTCTCTCACTGTCTCTCTCTCTGTGTCAAATAAATAAAATCTTAAAAAAAAAACAACTGTGAACGGTATAAACTTGGATGTGGCTTGTGATGGGGGAGAAAATGATAACTAGAACTTGGGCAAGTAGCTTTGCCATTCACTGAGATAGGAAATAAAATATTCTGTCCAGGGATGTTAAGACCAC